GTCAAGCCACGAGTCGATGAGACCTTGAGCACTAACTATCGGATTTACGAGGGCGAGACGGAAGAAGAGGAGGATGTGCTCCCAGCAGATGAGGGCGATACTTTGATGGAGGTTACTTATGAGCCCGCATTCGAGAGTCCCTCATTTGAGCCGTCATGCCCCATCGAGAAGGACCCAGTGGTCTTACTATGCTCCACAGATGTTCTTATCCTTCCATTGGTTGACAATGGAGTTTCGGTGAAGAGAGCTCTAGGCCACTTCGTTACCCCACCTTGCTCCCATGCCCAGTTCCAGAAGAATATTGCTACCCGAGCCACCCGTGCCTGCCTTCTGGCCTTAGTGCTAGCACTGCCACTTCTCGAGAATACAAAGGTGTGGCACGATCGTCACTTCTTTCTGGACCCCGGATGAGTTCTTTTCAGGTTTCGTCAAGCTAATGACGTAAAACAAGCGCTTCTTGGGAGGCAACCCAAGTGATATTTATTGCTTTCTTGTTCATTTTCTTATGTTTGTTCTTTTATCTTTAAATAATGGGAGGTTTGGAGTTTGTGTGGTTTTCTCGACAGGTACTATTTGCGAGCTTGAGCAGGAGGAATAACGAGGGCCGAGGCTGAGCATAGGCGAGTGACTTGCACATGCATGCTATTTCTCCTCGAGGCATCTTTGGTTTGCACACACTTTTCCTTTTTATCTTTTTGAGTTGCTTCGTGTCTTTTCTTTTTAGTCTTGTGTGCTTGTGGTAGGTGCTAGTGTTGGTTCGCTATATGATAGTGCTAGGTTTTTTATTTGACTTCCTATTGTGTGTTGAAGCAATGAGGGCATTGCCTCATTTTAAGTGTGGTGGAGTCGAATTGGGTTTTGCATTCTTATGTGGTGGATCTGTCTAGCTTAGGTTATTGTGTTGTTGAGCATGTGATATTGGTGAATTATATGTAATGCAAGTGTAAGCGTCCGGGTCCGGTTTCGAGTAGATCGGTTCTTGTTCTCGCCGGTAGAACGCCGGAAACCTGCAAATAACTCTCACACCGGGGGTTGGGTCCGGTGAAGAGCCTCCGATGCTTAAGTCAGTATGTGTATGAGTATACTGGAATTTAGAGAATGAATAGAATGTGTTAAGGAAGAAAGGCTCACCCCCTTTATATAGGGGTGAGATACCTGCCCTAATAGCTGCCCGGATAAGGCTAAGTCGGCTGCCCAAGCTGCCCGTCCGTACTCTGACACGCCGCGCACATGTCAGAGGTGGCGCAAGGCGTTGGGAGCTGTCAGAGGTGGTTATCGCTATCAGCCAATACATCGTCGACACGTGTCCCTCCTGCACATGGGATAAATATTCTCTTGAAGCTCAGTCAGAGACCCTCACGCGCGTCTGCTATACACGCGTCTAGGTTTATGTCGATCAGCTTGCTCGATCACTCATCTGATCGATTGATGGGTAGCTCGATAAGTCTGATCGAGCGCCAGGCTACTCGATCGTCTGTGCGGTTGGGCCTTGGGCTGCCCGAGCGCCTGTGTGGTCGAGCCTTAGGCTGCTCGATCGCTTGTATTCCCGCCTTTGGGCTTGGTTTGCTCCCGGTCTGCTCTTTTCAACCGGCTCACCAGATCGGTTCGTCTTTAGACAGATAATATCCTATATCAATATGAATTGTTGATGAATGTTTGATGAGATTGGGAAGTTGTGATGACAGACGTGTGGTCATTGTCTCAGTATTTGCTTGATTGCTTTGAGTGACATTTATTTACCTTGTGAGGTTTTGATCCTTATTCTTTTTCTTGTGAGATGTTGGTCATATTCATGAATGATTAGAACTTGCCTTGAGTTTATCTGAAAGGAATCAATTAGAGTTTGAAATTGCGAAAGTGATTGAGACGTTTGTTTGATTAGCTCTTTTTAGCCTTGTTCTTTGATCCTAAACATTATTTTCCCTAGTAGCCCGTTTGAGCTTTGAGCCTTTTTCTTGTCAGCCGTACACGAATGTATTTTGTTGACTGATTTGGTGATGATTGGTGAAAATGGTGTTGTTGTTGAATGAGGTGAATTAAAGTTGGATTTCTATTGTTTGACCTATTAAAAAAAAGAAAAAAAAAAGAAAAAATAAAAAAAAATGAGAGCTCGCAGGACGAATCGATTGGATTCTACTCCTCTTACTAGTCGATTCGTGTTGACGGGTAATGAGCATTGGGAAACTACTGTAGGACACTTGGATGACCTCCAATGTTTACACCTACAGAATGTTGTCCTTTCGATTCGTTTTTGTTCGGAAAAAGTCACTCTTCAAATAAAAAAAAAAAGAAAAAAAAGAAAAAAAAATAAGGTTAAGTGATGAGGTTGCAACTTGTTCTGAGCATCTATGAGTTGTCTGTGGAATGTTGGTTGGATAGTAAATGTTTTGCCTTGTTGATTCTGGATGAGTAGTGGAATACTTGAGTATACTCGAGAATCGTGATCTTCTATTTGAGCTTCTTGTCCTTATATATTCGTACCTTTTCCTCAGCCACATTACAACCCGTGAAGTCCTCTTGATTCGCATATTTTGAACTTTGATTGTTTTCAAGTAATTTAAACGATAGGCAAGCATATGCTGAAACTTGAATATTGACCAATTTTGAGCGTTCCTATCACTTATTAATGTAAGAAAATGAGTGAGGCATATATGATGATGTATGTTTTGAGAGTTTGTCATTTCAAGGTAAAGTTGATATTTGAGGCATATGGTCGTACATTCGTTGGAATTCGATTCAATTGAATTGGGCATTTTGAGACTCTTCTTATTTTAAACCGTATCAATGCTCGTGGCTTGTTTTCTTTTCTTTTTGTTCGGGACGAACAAAGGTTTTAGTGTGGGGGAGTTGTTTGTCCCATTTTTGTTGTGTTTTTTGTTGTCTTTTTGCCGTTCTTTTTCCCCCGTATTGAGTCGTTTAGGTGGTTTTAGGATCTTTTTGTCATTTATTATGTGTTTTGCGTTCATTTGAGTGTTGCGGTGTTTTCTGTTTGTTTTCCGGTCTTTTTCTGTTCTCTTTTCGTTTTTGGTGTGTAGTTTGGAGACCTCGGGAGAACAGGTTATCGAGAATCTTTTGGGAAAGCTGACACCATTAGAAAGAGGGGCTCAATAGCGACGGATAGGAAAAAGCAGAATTGAATTCCGATCCCAGACGAGCCCGAACGAGCCCAAACCGTGAAGTCATGCAAAGCTGCCGGGGACCTTAGCGCCGCTAAGACCTGTGTGGTTAGCGGAGTTTTGGCAGCTAAGCGGGACAGAGGAAACCAGCTAAGAAGGCTTAGCGCCGCTAACCCCTTAGCGGCGCTAAGGTCTGTTTTGTAACAGACGCGATTTCTGCGGATTTTCGAAGGGGAAGCTTAATAGATCGAATCCAAGACCCCCAAACGGAGTTTTTCTTCATCTTTTTGAGAGTAGACGAGAGAAGAGGGGGGTGCTCGATGGGGGAGGAACCCTAACTCCAAAAATTGACTCCTCCCTCCATTGTTCTTCCTCCTTCTTCTTCTCTTCCTCTCTTCTCCTCTTCTCTTCACCCTTCTTTTCCATTTTTTTCTTCTTGTTAATAATTAGGGATTAAGCTTGTATTTGGAATTCAACACTTGAACTTGGGATTAATTGTAAGTTTCTCTTTTTATTCAATTCCTGAAAATGGTTGATTTGGAGAGAATGATTGATTGTGTTGAATCGATTTTACGTAGCTGAATCTGATTGCTAGGGATAGGGGATGATTGTTCTTGTTTAACATGCATTTGTCGGGCTTTGATTTGTTCATGCTTGTGTGGGTTGAATTGATTAGGAATTAATGAATTCATGCTTGATTTGTTGATATAATCGAAGAGTGACACTTCAATCTTGCAATTAGAAATAATTGAATATTGATTAGTCGAGTTAGGGTTTTGTTGATTCTATGTGATTAGTCGATTAATACTCTTCTAGTTAAATTAGCGACTTTCAGAACCGAAAGGGGAGAAGTCGTAGAAATAGACTCACATGAGGTAGATGATTTCGTAATTGAATAGTCTATAGGTTTTCGGTTGAAATACGTGCGAGTCGATGACCCGTCCCTTGTTACGAGAAGTTATTGGGATTGAGATAGTTGGCCCGTATTGTATGCTCGAGCTTGTACGTTTATGTTCAATCCCTTGTTACGAAAAGTTATTGGGAGCGAACCTCTAGATGTATAAGCAAGAGTGTCAATCTTGAACTGAACAATTGAATGCACGACTTTGCTAAAACTTGAATTAATTATCCCCGATTCTCTAGCTTCTCCATCTTCGTGTCATCCATACTCTTAGGTAGATTTAAATTTTTGCATTGTTATTTATTTCTTAGTTGATAATTATTCATCTCCCTTATCTGATTAGAGTGTTTAGGATTTTATTTTCTTTTGTGTGTGATCGATACCATTTCTAAATTCCGAACCGCCTTCCTCGTGAGATCGACTCGGGGAACGAATCTTTTGATTCGGTACTCGGTAAAAAGATTAATTTGTACACAACAGAAAATATATTTTACAAGAATTTAATTATAGAAATAAATCAAAATAAAAAAAAACAAGAAAAAATGTAATCATGGGTGCCAATAATATACAAACAAATTCTAAACAATTAATATAAATATTCAAAATTATTTTTTATACTAATCGGTATTCCTTCAGTTTTAATTTATACGATATATCCTTATTGCCCGTCAGCGAGAATTTCAAGTTCTCGTGACACGATATCCGCATTGTAATGAGGGAGATGGGACTTTGCTGTTAAATACGGTTTTGTGTGTAGAATATGTGAGTGTTGACAAGGTTTGAGTAGAGAATGCACAGGAGTAAACTAAAAAATGAAAGATCAAAAACACTATTAACATCTAATGTATTCATAAGGAAATTACACCTAGTTAGTAATACACTAGTTACCTTAGAAATCCTTTATATTTTAGAGTAGTTTTGGCAACTCAAAATCTAAAAAGGCATAACAAGACAATCACAATGTACAATCTTTACCTCAAATTTTAAAGCCTGATCTTTTCTGATGGATATATCCCTTTCACAACACTCTCCTTTTGTCGGTTACCAGATGACGACTTTGACTCGTTGTACTTCGAAACCGGACCATACTGCTGCTTACTTTCTCGACCATTTTTCCCTTTGCTTTTTCGGCTGTGTGATGAAATTGAGAATCAGTGAGTTGTGCTTTGAAAGTACCGTGTAAAAAAGCATATAAGGACGCAAACAGGCAAAACTAAAATCACTTGTACCTGATATGGAGCAAGAGGAATAAGATACCGGCAATGGCTGTGCCTTTCGCAACTGTTCTCAACAGCGGTCTGCGGCCGTGCTTTTTCCTTCCATTTGCAATATATTTATCCTTGAGTTCAAAGAAAGGAAGAAAGCATTAATCAAAAAAAATAAAAAAATAAAGCCATTTGACAGGATATGTTTTATTGCAAGGCAATTTCTAGTGGATAATAATCACCTGACCGCCATTTTCAGGTGCCATAGGAATATTATCTTCGACATTTTGGGCTACAGCAGTGTCTTCTTGAGCTCGGTTCACGTCTTTGATTGGAAAACACGTAAGATTTACTGAAATTGTTTCACATAGGTTTTCTTGAACAGCAGTTTCTTGTTCGCTAAAGCCGACAACATTTATGTCCTTACGCTGTTCTTGACATCTCTCATTGCCCTCAACCAATTTGCTATCGCATGAAAATTTTAAAACATTCGATTTCTCATCTGAAACATGACCGCCAAAATGAGTCGAAACACAATTATCCCCACACTGCGAATGATGCGAATCTGAATCTGAACTGAGCAAGTTATATTTAAGATTCTCATTGTCCCCATCTTCACAGGAAATATGAGTCTCTTTATTAGTGACCTCAACAACTATATCCTTCTTCTCAGACGCTTCTCCAGAATCAAAAACTACAGCTTGAAAATTCGACTTGTTTATGTCCATATTTTTGGGTTTGGATAATACAAACAAATCTTTGAACTGCTTCTCAGCATCATGTTCCCTTGATACGGAAGACCGACAGTTTGTACTTAACGAGTCATCCTCATCAAACTGCTCCTCAAACTCCAAATTAAGTAAACGGCCTAAAATGGAGCTCATGCTAGTTGTTGAAGATATTTCCGTATCTTCATCTCCATTCTGAAAGCTCTTTTTATTCGAGGAGACTCCTTGAGAGTCAACTTTAAGAAAGAAATCGAACATGTTACTTTCCCCATTACGAATAACAGAACTGCTGCCCTCAGTAGTTGCCTGGACCATTAAGTCCGAAAAGGCCAAGTAATCGGAAATGTAATTACTTTCTCCAACATCAACACACGAAGAATCTTCAACGACTGAGTAGTCATTGTCTAACGAGCTCTCGGTACCATTTTCAGGGTTATGTCTTTCTAAATGTGAGATGATTCCACCACAAGCAGACATTTTATCAAGTTTGTGATCATTCTCAAGTTTGAGTGAATTTTCCGAGTCGGAATTAAGTCCATGAGCATAATCGTATTTACCCCCAGATGGAAAGGAATTTTCACCCATATATCTACTTTCGGCCTCATCCGACTCATCAGAGCTACTGTAATCATCATCTCCGTTAGACGGAGGTTGAAACTTTTTCTATATCACAGCACGGGCAACAAGAGATTAATCAGTGACATGACATTGGCATTTAATTTGGGGGACAATACAATTTTTTCTCAAGTCAATAATATATTAAAACAAAACCATTTTCAGTATTGGGGAAAAAATGGGATGGCTCACCTGTTTCGCCTTGGTTTGGGAAACATTGCGTGAACTGTAACTTGATGAACTTGAAACTGTGCACTGTGATGATTCCAAACTTTTCCGAATAATATCGACCATATTCTTTGGCATGGTCACTGAGTATACAACCATGTCAAAGTCTGGAACCTGGTTCGAGGTCAATAAAGGTTTATCAGCGACTCAATTGTGCTGGATGAGTAAAGAAAGAAGAAACAAGTCTGATAAAGTTCTTACACTTAGTTGTTTTGACCTGGCTTTCATTGACAGTGCTCTTATGCAGATGCAAACTTTTCGAATATTTCTTTTCTCAACAACATCCGATGGAGAAAAGAGGTCAATGCCACTCAACCCCATAATTTTGCATATCTAACAAAACAGAACCAGTAAGATTAGAATCCCAGCTGACAAAATCGAGACGAGTTTATTCAGATGACACTTATAAATTAATGTTTTACCAATGAAAGGACGTGTGTCGTTTTCTTTACATAATGCATATAAAAGAGAAAAAGATGAATAGCAATATTTTCCAGGAAGAAAATAGAATCTAGCAGTTTAGAGTTCATAGGCACCAAATAGACAAATCTAAAGTTGCATTGGAGATACTCGTGGGAGGGCTCAAATATGATGCATTACCTTTATAAAGGAATCAACATTTGAGTAAGGCCTGTATCTCCCGCTGCTCTTTCTAGAACCAAAAGGCCCGTACTTGTGCTTCAAATGCCTCAGCTCCATACATTTTACCAGCAACAGATTCCACACTACTTTAGAAACTTCAAACCTAAAATGCCAACGATGTCAAGTAAACTTGTCAGTTGATAAAACAAAAAGGGTTCTTCAAAAAAAATTTGCCCAACACGGTAGTAAATTTCTAGACCATTTATGATCTACGGAAGCAAGAAAATGCTCGTTTCCAGCATATCGATTTACTTCACCACTTGTAACAGTGCCACACACTGATCTTCCAAGGCAGACACATATGTGATTAAAAAAATTGCCCCGAAGAAGACTATAAAATGGTTTATATGCCTTCTCTCAATTAATCTTTACCTTTCTCATTCTCTCTATAGTAATGTCTGTTTGGGTTTCAGTAAGGATGGTTTTACACTCACTACAGAAAACAACTATAATACACCACAACATCAGGATTAATCAAGAGCTCAAAATATGAAGATTAAAGGGAAAAAAAAAAATCATAATAATAACGAAATTAAAGAACTCACAGTATCTCCCCATCTTGAAGCAAATCGGAGAGATTCAATTCCTCATCAAATCTTGCGCACAGAACTTCCCCAAGCCATATTCTAGTCTGAGTCTGAAACCCACAGCCAAATTTCAACATAATCAGAACAGTTTCTAGACTTATAAATATGTACAGGAATGTGTGTGGTGTGTGCAAAAAAGGGGGGGACCTGCAAGAAAACTTCATCGAGCTCCCGGAAGCTGGACTCCGGCGACGGCGGAGATGAATCAATCATCCTCAGATTTCCCGCCTAAAATCACTCATGATATTCACTTTTTTTTTTTCAAGAAAATAAAGAGGAAAAAAGATTAAAGATTGAAACTTGAACTCTAGGGACTAGAAAGCAAGAGAAACTATAGGCGGCGGGCGGGGTTTGTTTTCAAGTTTACGAGGTAAGAACAGTGGCCGCGTGGTAGTGTTGTTTTGTTTTCTTATTTGTGTCCCGTAATATTTTTTATTTTCTTTTTTTTTGGTGGATGATGTTTGAGTCTTTATTTCTTTTTTCCATGGATAATTGTATTTTTTGGTTTTTCTGAGATTTATAGGGACAAAAAAGACAAGCTCCGGATTATGGGGGATCACTTTTTGTATTTTTTAAGTCCATGCTTCGATTAATATAAGTTTTTATAAATAAATTGAATCACAACTTAAATTTAACTCAGCTCGTTATAATTAATATTATTAATATAATTTTATAATATTAATTAATTATTTTCACACATCACATCAATTCTAATTAATTAATTATCAACTCACATAATTTTAACAACTCAGCATCACTTTCAGTCACATATTTCTTATTTTTACATCCAATCAAATTTAATTAATATATTATATCTATTATTTTAATATGAACTGAAAATCTAAGGTAAAATTAATAGTTATGATGCCTCCCACAAAAAAATTGTCATAAATGATTAAGTGGAATTTGGGTTAATTGGGATGAAATTAAAAACTAAGTGAAAATAAAAGAAGTAAAACGTGGAGAGAATGAATGATGCCATGAATGACTTTTCACCATAATAAGCTTAAGCTTCTTATGCAGAATGATAATATCGGAACTTTCCAAATAGTGGCTAGGTTTTCAGAGTTAGCATTTATACATGCAAGACATCATGTGCTCTCTCCTCACTTTATACAACTCACACTTAGAGTCCTAGGATTATTTACACGTGGCATGATCTGGTTCTTCACTTGCACGCTGCAAGGGGCCACAGTAGCTAAAGGCCTTGTTGTCCTTTCACTATGAGATTGAGATATGGAAAGAGAAGTGTGAGCTGGCTGGAGTTTGACTTGATGTTCAACACGCCCCCTCAATTCGAGCGAGCTTAAAGAAACTACTCACATTCTATTTCTGAGACGAGCAAAGGATTCAAGACTAAAGGGCTTTGTCATGATATCATCAACCTGATCATAAGAAGGCACACGATTCACAACAATGGTTTTGGCTTCAATCTTGTCCCTTACAAAATGAATGTCCAGCTCAATATGCTTAGTTCTAGCATGTAAGATATGATTGGTAACTAGATAAATAGTGCTAAGGTTATCCACCCAAACAGCAGGGATTAAAGAGCCTTTGTGTTCAACTCATTCATCAATGACTGAAGCCAGGTCATCTCAACAACATTATGTGCAAGACTCATATACTCAGATTCTATGCTTGACCTTGATATGGAGTTCTACTTTTTAGCTGACCAAGATATTATATAATTAATTACGTATTTAATTTATTTTATTAAGCTATGATGAGATGTTATATTTGATTTTTGATAGGAAATAGGTTCGATATATTTATTGAAGTCGAAAGCGGCGAGAATTGATTTGATTATGGTCATGTGCGAGTCGTGCATGGAGATGGACCCAATTGCAAGGCCTTAATTGGTGAGAAGGAAATCAGCCCTTTTGGGCTAAGGAACAAAGATTAAAATCCACGACAAGCAGCCTAATATGAATAAGTGGCCCAATTTGCATAAGAAGCCAAAGTAAGGATAGGATAGTAATTTTATTTTGTGCTTCTTCTCCATAGGTACGTACAACCATGGAAATGCTTTGAAGCTGTTGCCCAAAGGTTCGATCAGAGACCGCCGCGCCACCACGTCGCTACCCAACCACCGTAAACCACATTGACGGCCTTATATTACAGCCCATCGCCGGTGGAGCAGCCTGGAGCTGAAAAACACGCCGGAGATGCTGCCAACGGAGGCTGTCGGAGCTGGCCGAAACTCACCGGAGGACCACCGCGACACCACGTAAAACTGCCTATAATCTTCCTTAAATGTCGGAGAACACGCCCATGTCAACTGTGTGCCGCCATGTACTTGCTGGGAGAGCGGCTGCAGGTGAACTTCACGTGTGCTGCTGGAAATTGGTCGGGAACGCCATGTCCGGCGACGGGCGACCTGTACGCCTTTGGACAACTGGGCGCATGCCGACCACCTTAGACACCGGAAACTCGACCAGAAGCTTTGAAGAGGGAAGAAAACGATGTTTTTTGAGCTGTTTTGGATGCCCAGACTCACACGGGTCGCGTAACATGCTCTCGTCCTTTTCACACGACTCGTGTTGCTAGTGACACGAGTCGTGTGACCCTGGGCACGGCAATACGCGTTTTACGCGTTTTCTCCTATTTTTTGGGTTTTTTTTGGACCTATTTCGACTAGGAATCGACCACAACTATTTAAGGAACACTTGGACACATTTTTGGGGAGGCTTGGATATATTTTTTAGATCTTTGGAGACCTTTGGAGGCTACAAACACGAGCAAGACGAGCGATTTCTGTGTCCATTTCGTCGTAGTTTAATATATAATTGGTTATTATGCAATTAATTGTTATATAATTAATTACGTATTTAATTCATTTTAGTAAGCTATGATGAGGTGTTTTATTTGTGTTTTGACAGGAAATAGGTTCGATATATTTATTAAGTCGAAAGCAGCGATAATTGATTTGATTCTGATGTGCGAGTCGTGCATGGAGATGGATCCAATTGCAAGGCCTTAATTGGTGAGAAGGAAATCAGCCCTTTTGAGCTAAGGAACAAAGATTAAAATCCACTACAAGCAGCCCAATATGAATAAGTGGCCCAATTTGCATAAGAAATCGAAGTAAGGATAGGATAGTAATTTTATTTTGTGCTTCTTCTCCATACGTACGTACAACCATGGAAATGCTTTGAAGCTGCTGCCCAAAGGTTCGATCAGAGACCACCGCGCCACCACGTCGCTACCCAACCACCTTAAACCACATTGGCGGCCTTATATTACAGCCCATCACCGGTGGAGCAGCCTGGAGCTAAAAAAAACGTCGGAGATGCTGCCATCGGAAGCTGTTGGAGCTGGCCGAAACTCACCGGAGGACCACCGCGACACCATGTAAAACTGCCTATAACCTTCCTTAAATGTCGGATAACACGCCCATGTCAACTGCGTGCCGCCATGTACTTGGCGGGAGAGCGGCTGCAGGTGAACTTCACGTGTGCTGCCGGAAATTGGTCGGGAACGCCATGTCCGACGACGGGCGACCTGTACGCCTTTGGACAACTGGGGCACATGCCGACCACCTTAGACACCAAAAACTCGACCAGGAGCTTTGAAGAGGGAAGAAAACGATGTTTTTTGAGCTGTTTTGGACGCCCAGACTCACACGGGTCGTGTGGCGTAAGACACGACTCGTGTCGTCCCGACGGGTCGCGTAACATGCTGTCGACTTTTTCACACGACTCGTGTTGCTAGTGACACGAGTCGTGTGACCCTGGGCACGGCCAATACGCGTTTTACGTGTTTTCTTCTATTTTTCGGGTTTTTTTGGACCTATTTCGACTAGGCCTCGACCCCAACTATTTAAGAACACTTGGACACGTTTTTGAGGAGGCTTGGATATATTTTTAGATCTTTGGAGACCTATGGAGGCTAGAAACACGAGCAAGACGAGTGAGAAAGCCGGGAAGAAGGGATCGACGGAGCCGAATAAGCTTTTTCTTTATTTTTTTTTCCTCTTTCGAACTCAATGTTTTATATTTATTCTTCCTATTTTGAAAGCATGTTTCTAGGCTAGATTTATCTTAGATTCTTGGATTTGTTAATACTCGGATTAATTTATGATTTAGTTTTTATTTATTTCATTCCGGTTTATCATTCGTTTATGAATTTCTTTTGTGTATATTTATTGTGTGAGTAGATGGCCACTATGAATGCATATTTGTGATCGATTTGAGACCGAGAGGAGATAATTGATTGCTAGAATTGAGAAATTTATAACATAGGAGACTAAACAAACCGAGAGGTTGATAGAATCTTGCGAGAGAACGAAAATCCTAGGAATTTATGGGAGTTAGTTGTTCATCTTGAGACCGAGAGGAGATAGATAACAATTAATATCTACGATTTGCTTGTTCGAGAGAAAGGTTGAAATCAATTTAGCGATTATCTCTATGATTGGTAAAATTAAATAAGGTTTGCATGAATATAAACGTTCCATGAATTAATTCCGAGGGACACAGCCTAGAATCTATCTTTTATATCTTGCTTCATTTTTATTTTATTAGGTAAATTAGTTCTTAGTTTAAATTATAGTTTAAAATCATCATCTCGTTCGTTAGCTAAATAATATTTAATCGTCATTATTTTAGTACTTAATTAATTTAACTACAATTTCTGTGGAATACGACCTTACTCGCCACTACCTATAGCTACGCCGTATACTTGCGAATAGCAAAAATAATTAGCAAACAAGTTTTTAGTGCCGTTGTCGGGGATTGTTTGTTGAATTAATTAATATTCGAAGAAAGCGACTAGATAATGTTTAGACATTTTTATTTTATTTTTTTTCCTTTCTTTTATGATATTTTCTTATTTTTCTTTCTTTCTTATTAGATTACAGTGGCCGAGCAAGTGGAACTTATAAGACAACTCGAAGAGCAATTGGTGGAGTTGCAACGTCAAGTGGCCGAGCAACAGGCCCGAACAGTGCAAGGCAACCTGATTCGATCAATTTTCCAACTGCCGACAAATCAATATTTTGGTGGAGGCCATGGACCGAGGATAGCGGCCAATAAATTTCAGTTGAGTCCTGAACTAATTCAAATAGTACAACAAGAGCAGTTTGGGGGAGGTGAAACTGAGGACCCGAACGCGCATCTTGCGCAATTTTTGGAGATATGCGGGACGATCAGGATCAATGGAGTGCCGGATGATGCAATAAAGCTTCGTCTCTTCTCTTTTTCTTTGAGAGATAAGGCGAAGATGTGGTACAACTCGTTGAGAGCTGGGACGGTCACTTCATGGGATGACATGCACCGACAATTCCTATTGAAATTTTTTCCGCCAAGAAAGATGTTAAGGCTTCAAACGGAGATCACCCAATTCAAGCAGCAAGTTGGAGAGCCATTTTATGAGGCTCGAGAGCGTTTCACACAACTTCTTTGGAGATGCCCATAACATGGGTTTTTCAAGGATTATCAAATATGCTACTTCTACAATGGGTTGAGTGGAAACATGAAGGCAATGGTCGATGCTTCAGCCCGAGGCGCTCTTTTGGGATGAAGTTCATGTGAGGCGCTGGAAATTATCGAGGAGATAGCGTCCAACAGTTACCAGTGGCCGATTGGGCGGACGATGCTTAAGAAGGTGACGATGGCCAATGAGACGGACCCAATTTTGGAGTTGGCGACTCAAGTGACCGCAATGGTGTGTAACAGCATGAAAGGGGTGAAGAACGAGACGTTCGAGGTGAATGCAGTGTCATTGTATGAACCTGTCCATAATGTGAATTATTTGCATGACCAGAATTACAACAATTTTTTTGGATATCAAGGGGTGACTAATGGGGTCATCAATGACCCGAAGAAGCCGAAAATCGAAGTTATGTTCGCCTCGTTCATGACTCTGATGCAAGAACTCATGGGTGACACTCATGCTACGTTATCCATGATAAAGAATCAAATGAAGTCTATGGAGCAGCGAATTGGGCAAATGGCCGTGATGGTCAATAGTTAACAGCAAGATGGCCAATTTCTGAGTCATACGGAGATGAACCTAGAGGATTGCAAAGCCGAGGATGCCCAAGAGACAAGAGATGACGTTCTGACTGAGGTAGAGAATGTGCATGAGCAAGAGGAAAAGAGACCAAGGGTCGATATGGTTGTAGCTGATTCAGACGAGGAGATGGAGATCCCGGTTGAGGCTCATGAGGTGGTTGAACTCAAGAAGGAGAGTAGTGCACCACTACAAATAAACCGCCTCGTTAAGTGCTAAGATCTCGATTGATTTTATATCGATTGTGTAGTTGGAGAAATATATACCAGGAAAGGGCTATGCGACTTAGGGGCGGGCGTCAACTTGATACCACTCTCTGTTTTCGAGAAGTTGAGGTTGGAGAAGTTTCAACCGACTGATCACTCGTGTTTCTAGTGACACGAGTCGTGTGACCCTGGGCACGGCCAATACGCGTTTTACGCGTTTTCTCCTATTTTTCGGGTTGTTTTGGACCTATTTCGACTAGGACTCGACCCAACTATTTAAGGAACACTTGGACACGTTTTTTGGGGAGGCTTGGATATATTGTTTTGATCTTTGGAGACCTTTGGAGGCCAGAAACACGAGCAAGACGAGGGAGAAAGCCGGGAATAAGAAATCAACGGAGCCGAATAAACTTTTTATTTCTTTTTCTTTTTCCTCTTTCAAACTCAATGTTTTATATTTATTCTTTCTATTTTGAAAGCATGTTTCTAGGCTAGATTTATCTTAGATTCTAGGATTTGTTAGTACTCGGATTAATTTATGATTTAGTTTTTTTATTTCATTTCGGTTTATCTTTCGTTTATGAATTTCTTTTGCTTATATTTATTGTGTGAGTAGATGGCCACTATGAATGCATATTTGTGATCGATTTGAGACTGAGAGGAGATAATTGATTGCTAGAATTGGGAAATTTATAACGTAGGAGACTAAACAGACCGAGAGGTTGATAGAATCTTGCGAGAGAACGAAAATCCTAGGAATTTATGGGAGTAGTTGTTCATCTTGAGACCAAGAGGAGATAGATAACAATTAATATCTACGATTTGCTTGTTCAAGAGAAAGGTTGAAATCAATTTAGTGATTATCTCTACGATTGGCAAAATTAAATAAGGTTTGCATGAATATAAATGTTTCATGAATTAATTTCGAGGAACACTTAGCCTAGAATCTATCTTTTATATCTTGCTTCATTTTTATTTTATTAGGTAAATTAGTTCTTAGTTTAAATTATAGTTTAAAATCATCATCTCGTTCGTTAGCTAAATAATATTTAATCGTCATTATTTTAGTACTTAATTAATTTAACTACAATCTATGTGGAATACGACCTTGCTCGCCACTACCTATAGCTATGTCGTACACTTGCGGATAGCAAAAATAATTAGCGAACACTTGTTAACTGAGAAGCTGATCTCTGGGCTTGTTATTGTAGCACATTGTAAGGCTCCAACAACCCTTCTGTAGAGTGTTCCATCTACTCCTGACTCTCCATTGAATTTGGACAAATGAAGAGAGGAGACCATAGGAGTAGGACAACCCTTGGCTTTTGACATGTTTACTTTGATTAACAGCTGCCTTATGTAGTTAGACTGACTTAAATACAGTCCTTGTGAGGTTCTCTCAACCTCTATTCCTAGAAAGTGCTGAACTTCTCCCAATATCTATAAAGAGAAAACTTCCTTCAGCTTGTTGACCACTTTCTGTGTGACAAGAGGGTTTCTCCCAATTATGAGGATGTCATCAACATAGATTAGCAAGTAGGTGACCTCACCTTCTTCAGTAAGAACAAAAAGAGAGGTGTCAGCCTTGAAGTTCTTGAAGTTGAGACTCTTCAATACTGATTTTATCTTAGTGAACCAGGTCCTTGAAGCTTGATTCAAACCATAGAGGGCCTTGGAGAGTTTGCATACTTGATGATCTCCTTCCTTTTCAAAACCAAAGGGCTGCCTCATGTAAATATCTTCCTCAAGTTCACCCTTTAGGAAAGCATTATCTACATCAATGTAAAGACTGGGCCATGAGTGAAAAGTGGCAACAGTCATTATCACCCTTATAGTTGATGTAGGTTTGACACTGGACTGAAAGTGTCAGAAAAGTCAAACCCAAGTGCTTGAGAGAAACCTTGAGCAACAAGTCTTGCCTTGTACCTGGAAACTGAGCCATCTGAGTTTCTTTTAACCTTGAAAACCCATTTGTTACCTACTAGGATCTTTCACTCTGGTAAGGTTGTCAAGCTCCATGTTTCATTTCTGATAAGGGCATTATACTCATCTTCCATTGCCTCTCTCCACCTTTCATCATGCAAGGTCTCTTCTGGTCCATTTGGCTCTTTATCTTGCAGTTCAACATTGTATAGTTTAGGTTTATAGATGCCTACCTTAGCCCTTGTTATCATTGGATGAAGGGTCTTGGAGTGTTGAGGTTGTTGTTGTTGAGGTGATGCCTCCGGCCCTTGTGAAATTGGAAGGTCTACAAATAAAGGCATTGTTAAGTTACTAGAGCTTCTTTCAACTGAACTTTGCTCAACCTGATC